GCTGGTCCGGCACCTGCCAGACGAGTTCTTTTTTGTATCTTTGAGCCATTTTCGGCCAGAAATCCTCGCTGTCACCGTCACCTGTACCGAAAGCGTTTACTTCGTGGGTCGCCGTCACCCGTCACCTGAACTCTTGGTCGGATTACTCCAGTACCACCCGTGAGAATGGCGCGGTGATGAATTTGGGCTGATTCTAGATTTCTTGGTGGACTCCCGTCCTGTAACCTTGTTGGAAACTCTGACAATTTTCGCCCGAAATGCACTGGCGGGAGCGCCACCTGCGGTTGTAAAAAAATTGTAGAAGTGAGTAGCATTTTGCATATGTTTCCCACTAAATTGACAGAAGGTGATTGGGAGATGAAAACCGATTGGTCCAGAAGGACAGCAACTCACGGGATGCGTTGTTGACACGGCAATTGAGACAAGGTATCCATCTGTGTCCCCTCATTCCACGGGCTCTGTTACGCACCGCGTGTATTTCAGCCTGAGGCCCATGTTCCTTTTCCAGCACACAACAGTTTGCTTCAACCACCCACTCTGTGAAAATGAGCTGGTTATTGTCCTGACAGGCTCCTTGATGTGTCATCCGTTAGTGCCACAACCCTTCTCGCGGGCGCCAACAGTCATTGTAATGTTGCCTGTCTTCGATTCCAGACAAGGAAGAACCTGATACGATGATCTTAATAACCGGTTATGCGATAGCGACCTAGTAGTAGTAGCGCCCGCAGATCCAATATGTCTCTCGGATAAAAACCATGGGCCTTGCTGCATGGATCGGCAAAACACGTGGGGAGAGAAGGGGGGATACAAAAAGAGGTGTACGCTGGAACAGTATGACGGGAAGATCAGTCCATTCCGAGCAACTAGACATTCCATCAAAATCGGTGGTCTCATATAGGAGATGATGATCCTCAGACGACATTTGTTTTGCGGCCAAAAAAAAGAGTACAATGAATTGGACAGTAGCACTAGTTTTCTGCCAGAGTGGTGTTCCCGAGGTGTATTCAAGGGTACATTCAAGTTGGGTTTACGACGTATTCTGGGACTCGATCATCTCAGGCGGCTACGTTGAACGGAATCAAAATTCTTTCTCAAGACGCTCATCATTTCCAAGATGCGAAAGATGCCATTCACCTTGTACAAGTAGCGACAGTTTTCACTTCAAGATCACTCAAAGACGATTGCATGGGCAGTAAGGATGGGTATTTATTACAGAAATAGCGCGTTTCAACAATAGACGGGGAGCGACACATGTGAGGGAGGTTACCGGAGGTAGGTACAGACAATATCAATCGTAGTCTAATGCGGAATGAGCCCCCTTCGGTCACCGTAAGTGAACCAAAGCACGCACCATAAACATCAGCTTTCAGGACGAAATGATCATCCGAGTCCGACTCAACCTCGCATCCATCGAGCTTCAGTTAAACCCTCTTACACATTGATAAGCCAAACCCGGAACTCGAGCCACGAAGTGTCCGTGTCGCGGGCAATTTTTTTCGCACCCCACCCGCCTTTTGCTGACACCTGCCCGGTTGAATGACTGGAGTTCTCTCTGGGGTTCTCATTGCGGAACCAAACATCGTTGGCTGAGCTCCCCAAAGTATGCACCGCGAATACAATCAAGAAGGTCGGACATCGTGTACCTGTCGAATCGGCATCAAACCATGGTTTCAAGAGCCATTTCGGGGGTTCAACTTTCCGTGTCCAAATAGCCGTTCCAACAATGCTAAGCTCCTTTTTTCTATTGCGTGATAAAAACTATGATAGTAATCGGCGTGATACTTGTATCGCTGTGGATCTTAAAGTTGTCCAGACCCTAGCTACGTTCAAGAAAAAGATACATTTTGTTGTTACACGGTCAAATCACAAGTTGGGCTAAGAACGGTCTACTCCTCTGCGCTATACCGCTCCTCAAACACGCCCTCCTCCATCGCCTTGATTTCTATATCATACGATCGCAGATCAGCTCAGCTTATCCGTATCCGTATCCACAGCATGGATTCAACGGGAAAAAGAAGAGAGAACGACGTACGGAGCGCAACGTGCTTCGAGTGGAAGCGGCAGAGTGCGAGGTTCCCTGGAAAGTTAAGATAAAGGAAGCATACCGTAGTCAGCAACATCAGAAAAACATGACGAAAAAGAAACGAAAAAAAAGATAGGGAAAAAGGAAGAGGAGGAAGGGCGTACCGATCATATACCACAATCCCGGCACCCCGAGATCGCGCCACGCGCCGTTGATCTCGCCCTCTTTATTGAGTCCCCAGATAGGCTTGCACTTGTCACCGACGGCGTCCCCACAGAGCTTGCGCACGCCGTCTCGTGCGTTTCCGGGCCTACAACCACGTCAGCCCTCCGGTTCGTGGAGTGGATCGCAAGAACTTGAAGCCGTACCCAGTAGCAAAAACAACCACATCCGCAGCCAGCTCACTGCCGTTCTCAAACTTGAGCCCCGTCTCGGTGAACTCGCTGATCTGGCTGTCGTTCTTGAGCTTGATCTTCCCGTCGATGATCAGCTGGCTCGCGCCGACGTCTAAGAAGTCACGCATCAATCAATCCGTGGATGGATGGAGGGATGGATGAAAGGGACGAAGGATGGATGGATGGACGGAAGGGAAGGATGGATGAATGGATGGACGGATGGAGGGAAGGATTGATGGACTGATGGACTGATGGATGGATGGATGGATGGATGGACGGGTGGAGGGAAGGATGGATGGATGGACGGACGGATGAACGGACGGACGGATGGATGGACGGACGAATGGGGATGGGACAAGAGGGAAGAGGTAAGGAGGAAGAACGTAACGCACCAATATAGTACCCCCCAGCCTTATCCCACGCAGACAGCGCAAACCCTGCATCCATCGTCCCCATGTTGAGCTTAAACCCGCATTTCTTCAGGCCCTCGAGGATCTCTCTTTTTTTTTGTGTGCGTGGGTAACACAGAGAAGAAAGAACAAAAACTCACCTATCATCCTCCGCGATAACCTTTGCCTGCCTCTGGTTCAACCCAATCGCCATAAGATGCGGGAACGACGCCGTGAAGCGGTCCGCGAGCTCAACGGGGGGGCCGCCCTCCCAGTACGCCGGCCGCATGATGCGCGCCCAGCCGTGGAGGGTGCTGAGGACGTAGGTGGAGGAGCGCTGGTACATCGTTACGTCTGCAGTGCAGTGTGAGTAAGTTTTTTACAGAGAAAAAAGCAAGTAGAGGGTGAGTGGAAATTTAGGACACACCAACGCCGTGCTCGTAATAGTCCATAGCGATATCATGCGCGGAGGTACACGCCCCCACGATGACGACCTTCTTCCCCGCGTGGTCCAGCGCGCGCTTGTGGTGCATCGAGTGGAGGATCTGCCCCTTGAACACGTCCTGGTAGTTCAATCGCACCACGTTCGTGTTCATTGTTTAGTGTACCATAACGACACAGCGAGAGTGACGCACCATGCCAGGGTAGGAAGGCAGCCGGGGCTCGCCCGCGCCGAGGCCGGTGGCAAAGACGACGTGGTTGACGGTGAATCTGCGCTCCGTGCCCGAGGAGGCGACGACGACGTCCCATTTGCCAGCGGCGTTGGGGCGGGCGCTGACTACGGTGCAGGAGAGCCAGACGTTGAGCTCGAGCACCTCGGCGTAGTGTTCCAGCCAGTTGCCGAGCTGCGGGAAGGTGCGGTTGGTGGGTTGCGGAAAAGCGATAGGCTTTGAGGGGAAGAAGACGTACTTTTAGCGCAGGCGCGTATACGGGCCAGGTTGGTGGAAAACTGGACGAAGGGAATCATTTGATTTGCTGAGTTTATGGGGAAGACGAGATAGGGTAAGACGCACGGTAGATACGGAAGATGGTCGTACCTGTATCATCAAATGAGGGAGTTAGAAGAACGGATATAGAGCGTTTTTTACGGGAGACTGGACCGTACCACACCGGATCGTGTAGACAAAGTGCCTCGTATCGATTGCGCCAATTATCCTGGAGAGCGTTGGTAATCATAAGGTAGGAAATATTTGGAGAATGAAAAAAAAACTTACTCCAATGCGCGCGTTCTTCTCTATAATCAGACTGCGCACATTCAGGGCCTTGAGCCGCGCGGCGATGTCGAGCCCGCTGTGTCCGGCGCCGATGATCAACACCACCGGGTCCTCGTTCTCGAACGCCGCCTCCTTTCGGCGCTGCGCCGCCCACTTGCCGTGGTTCGGCGCGTGATTACGAAGTGGGCCGATCTGCTCGGGGAAACCTTTAAGGTCGTCCAGGTTAGTGTACATACAGTGCGCCTTCCAGTCGCCGTTGGGCTGCGGCACGAGCCGCACAATGCCCGATGCGAGCCCGACGTGGGTCTCGAAGTTGAAGACGACGCTGATCCATGCGAGGTCGGGGTAAGGCTGCTGCAGTGCCGTGTACTCCTGCTTGACGCGGAAACTCTCCAGCTTGGAAGAGACAAGACGGTCGGAGAGGAATTTGTGAATCTCAGTGACGCCGTGGAAGGTGCGGAAGTCCCAGGTAAGGGCAAGCATGTCTCTCCAGTGAGATTCCTCGATGAAAAGGCCTAGGATTGCGTCGACATCGCCCGCGGCAATGAACGTGGAAAAGGAGTTAAACCAGGCGGCAGCGACTTTGTGAACGTCGAGGTCGGGGGCGACGGTGGCATTGAGCCTGTCCAGAGTCGGCAGATTGAAAGTTTGCATTGTGCGATAGTGGGGGAGTCAAAGAGGTTCCGGGCGCTATCAGGGCGCAGGACCAGCTGACGACGTTGGGAGCTGAAGCGAAGGTCATGTGGGCGCCGGGCGGGTGAAGGTTACGCCAAATGGCATACGTCAACAACAGTTCAATCAAGGTTACGTTGAATTCTCTAGCGCCTGCTTTTGTTCATTCTGCAGAAACACAGCCTGTACATCCACATACTCACACACGCCTCCATTTCTTTTCTTCTCTGGAGGGCCACCCCAGCGTCCTAGTATATTCGCTGCACTCGCGCTCCTTGGTCTTAAAGAACCGCGCTCCACCAAAGAATCAGACGTGGTGTACGGAACACGGCCTCCGCGCATACAATATCTTCATTGTCGGATGCGTCACGAAGTAGTCCGGGGTTCGATTCCCCGTGTCTGAATATCTCGTCGAATGTCTCTCTTTTTTTCGGCTCGCATACCGGATCGAGCTCATTAACAGCACATACATCTGGTTGAATGACTGAATTTTCTCTGATATTCTCATTGCGGAATGAGGCATCGTTTTCTTGTATGCGGCACTGAATTCAATTAAGAGAATCGGAAATCGAGTATGACAGACACACAGCCTCCTAATCAACTGGCATTATTGGTCTGTTAGCCAGTTCTGGGTTCAACTCCCATCTCCAAATGTTGAGACTTGCATACGGGTTTTTTTCTCTTCTTTTCGGCTGGAAGATTCAACCAACCTCATTACGGAAGATAAATCTACCTGGTTGAATCCCTAAAAATTTCTCCATACCTTTTTGTCCAGTTCTGCATCGGCGTCAATCGGGAAGTGGTGTATAATCATTGTGCCTCAAATTATTAACTGAACACCAGGAAAGGTATCAGATGTGGTCAAAACACGGTATGGAAACTTGTTCATACCCTGCACGAGGTAGACAAGGGTTCGACTCCGCGTTTCTGACCACATTAAGTGTGAGCATTTTCCCCAAGTTTTATGCATTATTGCCTAGCTTGGACTTGGAAGCCGAGATATTATCAACCTGGGAACAAACGAAAGATACGGTATCTGGAATTTTCGCTGGTACGGGTTTTTTTTAGTGTATCTTGGTCTACTGAAAATTCAAGCCGACGTCGTGCGTCAACGCTTTATGTCTGATTCCCCAACGGCATGGAATTGTCCTTGTTTGGCCGATTGCCTGGGACGCGAAATCCCACGTGACGGAAATGATTGGCTGTTGCTTCCCACCAGGCGACATAAATCCTCACTTCATTTAGTACCCGCTCCCAGGCCATGCACCGCGCCATGAAAATCCTCGAGGTCATCAATTCAGTCTGCTGTCTCCTCGACCCCGATCCACGACGCTTGAGAGCTGGTGGCCATTGCCTGTACATTTCAGGACCCACCACCAAAACTCCATCATGAATCTCGTGCACTGGATACCTGGGGATCTGTGAGAGAAAATCGATGCGGACTTGAGCACGAGGACACTGACAACCTTGGTGTCGATCCTCGAACGCCATGCTCTTTTTTGTACCCTGTTTGCTGACCGTTGCTCTGATTTAGAGACTCACCTGAACTATTGTAGCCTCGGATTGGGATACGGTGCGGAAATACTCCCATCGAGTCAAATCCCTTGCATGTAATGAGCCTGCATACGATGTGCGATTTTCGTACTTGGTGCCCGTCTGTGAAGCCCTCCGTCAAGGCATTCCCGGCGTTCCCGGCGACTACCTTCTTCCCAACCTGGAGCAAATTCAGTGGAATCCCACCGGAGCGGCCTTCGAATCCATCGATCTCTTCCTAGGTCCTCAACTTTCCTCTGTCATTATCAACAACTACCAGTTCAACGGCCTCCTCGCTACGCTAACTCAAAAATATCCGAACTTGACCGCGGTTGAGCTCCACTCTGTCGATTCCCTTGAGGTGGATTCGACTCACCTCTATAATGCACGCTCGAGCCTCTCCGTGCACTGATGTTCTGTCTGTCAAAATGGACACCATCGATCTCGCCGCCTTCATTCATCTCGGAAAGCTCCCTACCCTCGAAATTCTTCACGTCGCAATCCCGGCGTCGATATCGTTTGACGAGACTCCCGAGAAAACGATGTTCTCCAACCTCCGTAAGGTTGAGCTTGATGCTGCGCGTGGAGACGCTTCGCAGTTGATCGCTCTCCTGCACATGGAACGGCGCACCGCTCGACTCCTTTGTGGCCTCCCTTGACGTCTATCTGTCGCAAGAGAACATCGAGGACCTGTATGGGTTCATTGCCACCCATTGCTCGACCGAGTGCCTCCAAGTACTGAAACTGGAGCTGTTCAAGTCTGATCGGGCTGTAACCCACGCCCCAAACGCGTCTAGACACCCGGCCCATCTATTCCAGCATCTCTCCCCCTTTACCAACTCGTGATCCTTTCTATCCATGTTCCTACTGGGTTCGACCTCGATGACGCGACGATTATGGAAATGGCATCGACCTGGCCGTATATCGAGGAATCGGAGTTCAAGGCGGATGTCCAACACCACCCTACGCAGGTTACTCTCCTGGGGCTCCAAGCCTTCTCAGAGCAGTGCGCATACCTTCGGAAACTCCGCATTGCCATCGATGCTACAGCCATACCAGAGCCGCGACGCGCCCCGGAGCCTCGGTTGGTTGCACAAGAGAGCCTCGTGTCGCTCGCTGTCGGCCAATCTCCCATCGACAACGCGTTCGCGGTGGCACGTTATCTTTCTTCGATATTCACGAACGCGAAGGAAGCCATGCCGACGTATGGCGATTTTGATGATGCTGAGAATTGCAAGCGATGGGTGGAGGTCGCGGCTATGCTGCGTTATGCTGCGTTGAGGTGCGCGAGGAGGAGTGGCGGCATGGAATTAATTTTGCGAGAGGCGTCATGATCAAGTAAGGGCCGCTCTTCTTTCACTCCGTCTAATGAGGATTGACCAGATGTATGCGTGCGGAGCAAGAAGATGATGGCAATGATGATGACGGAGATGAGGGTGAGAATGGTCCCGAAGACTTCGAAGAGTGAACCGAGTACTCCTGTATTCCGTCCGACTTTCCTTTGTTTTAGATTAAACATTCCCGCTCTTCAACCACCGAACACAATCAAAGGATTCGGACGTTCCGTTCTAGTTTAAAATATACTGCAGAAACAATTGTACCACTGATGATGCAGAACCACGAACGCGACTCTTCTCGCGCGAAAATCTCCCCCACGCTGGTAAGTTTCAGGCGGCCAACTCCTTGGCCCAATGATCAAGTCCAACTCAAGCTCCTCTCCGATGTCCAATGCCAATAGTGTCTTATACATTGAGGAAGGTGTTGTTCGCTCAGACACTCCTCCTGGCTTCTTGGCGCTTAATGGATCGGAATGACAACGGCAGACTGTTGTGCAAAGACATGCATTCATAACTGCGTTCCACCCATTACAATCGTAAATAACCATAAAAAAATTCTAGGAATGACCCGTAAACAAAACACAAATTGGTTGATAGCCGCGCGCAATTCAAAGCCAGATGGAGCGGTACTGCTGGATCAGGGCCTCAAGCTTGGCGGGGTCGACAGCGGGGTCGGTAGGCTGTTTACCCGAGCTAGTAACATAGGCGTTTTTGAGATCGATGGGCAGCGGCAGGACCTCCGAGCAGTCCGTGAGAGTGTTCTTGTTAAAGCCCAGAAGGCTCATCTTCTCGTGCGCAGCAGAGTATTCTTGGCCCCTGGAAAAGATAATTGAGTATCCTGGGTGTTGTGCGAAGGCTAGGACTCACCAGTTGTCCTGGTTCCCAACGAAGCGGCTGTAGTCTTTCTGGGTAGTGGCATTGTGCGCAAAGTTCACGTCACTGGCCAGTCGGAAAGTACCAGGGGCAGCCATTGCGTTCTGAGTCTCCGAATCTGCGAGGGATTATTAGTCCAGGAGCGAACAGGGAAAGGCGAATACGCACAGAAGCGCACATCCCAGATGTTGATGGTGCTGTCGAGCGGGTTCCCCGAAGTGGCCGCGTCCTGGAAGCGCTGTCTGCCGGTGGAGTGTGCGCCGATGAGCGCCATCAGCTCCCTGATAGAGAAACCCGTGGCGGCGAAGTCATCCGTCAATTTTTGCACAGGGCTGTTGGGGTTGGGGAGGCGTCCGTCAGGCGCGGTATAGCCCAGAGGCGGGGGAGCGCGTCCGACGTATGTTTTGATTGTGGGTCCGCCGGGACAGGCCATCTTAACCAAGAAGGTCAGATACCGTCAGTAATGAAGTTGAACCAAAACTCACCACACCGAGAACGCCGGCGAGCTTGATTTGAAGAATCAGGATGAGAAGAGATAGTAGGATTGAAACCTAGGACGCACATGGAGTATGTCGCCCGGGGAGAGGCCGAACTGTGCGGGGAGGGGCTGGAGAGCCGCAGTGATGCTTTGCAGCCCGTTGTTTTCCCCTCGCTGCACTTCAAGAGGATCGGTAAGCATCGACCCGTCCGCGCCCCCCTTGAGCCCATCCGCAGTTCGATAGGTTCCTGTGTCAAAGAAAGTCAACATGCTGATTGGATTACTCCGCAGAATGTCATGAACTTACCGGCGTCGTGGAAAGCCAGACGCACAGAGGCACGAGCGTAATCGTTGCAGCGCCCTATGTATCTGATCAGCATTGATATCCACCAGAGTCCGGCTTTGGCATACCATGATATATTCCGCCCATGATCGCATCGCGGGCACCGTACAAGGGCTTGCAAGCAGCATTCTTAGCGTTAGCCACAGACGGGATTCCGCTGTTGCCGTTGCCGTTGCCGCCGCCGCTACCGCCATCCTTGCGCTTCATCTGCGGGGACCCGTGAGCGGGGACGGCAACGCCGACGAGCATGACAACGAGGAGAGAGAAGAAGGTGGACCGCATGGTAGTGACAAGGGAATTAATTGGCGAACGTGAAGGTCGAGAGGTGGATCCGTAGAAGGAGAAGAGGATGGGGGACCTGGAGAAATGAACGAATACTAGGCGACCTTTTATACACTTGAAGTTAGGGTCCAGGTTTTGGTTTCACTTTCGGCTGTACGGCGGAACAGGCGGAATGATCGTGAATTGAATGCCGATCGCTCAGGTTCAAGGTACGGAAATGAGCCCGCCGACAATAATAGGTCCTCCTAAAGCCTCCTGACCCGAAACTTCGGATATTAGTTGTCGATCTAGTCTATTATTGGCTAAAGGGACACCCCTAACAGTGGAAAATGGCGGAAAGAAAAAGTCGAACATGACTTTGTTTCTTCAGAACATCCTGAGGCCGCATTGATAAACGGTGAAAACTTCACTTGGAAAGCAAAATCTCCACCGGCACCATGCGGAACCCTTGGATGGGCGACCCTGAAATATCCTAAATTGCCGAAATGCGCTTCGATCGGCGATCGAAGGGATCAGGAGTGAGACCCGGCATCGCAAGAGCGGCAGTAGAAGCGGCAC